GTGTGTGTGTGTGTGTGTGTGTGTGTGTGTGTGTGTGTGTGTGTATACATTGTATATATTTCATGAAGGCACCTGGCTGTCAGGAGCCACCCTCAAATCTGTGTGAAATGTTTTGAGAAGTTTTTTAGAGGGGTTTTGATATGCAGAGGGTTCCCTGTGGAATCTGAAATGGCTCGCTCTCTGCTGACAGGCGACAGGAAGTAGAGTCAAAGCCCAGCTGTGGATGGCATGAGCTCTTCTCGTATGCAGATGTTCATCACTATTCAACAGCTGCACAGACTGATAACCTATTTCACAATTCAGCAGGCGCTCCAGATGCTCAGACCCCCGTGAACCGAGGATCCACAAAGAGCTTGTCTGTATTGTCGAGGGGGTTTTGGTGAAAGCAGGACAGGGGATTAGTGATATTCTCCTCACACAAACTCAGAAACCAGGAGGACGCTGCCTGTCCAGGATGTAAATGGCTGAAACTTATCACCATAAAAACATTACTCACCAAACTGAGGACAAGACGGATGACGCTGAACTAGTCCCATCATATAATGACTTAATATGATGGGACTTAAAATCATATTCGGAATGTATAACACACTCACACACACGCACACACAGTATCGTCGATGTACATGGAGAAAAGAACAGACACAGTCACTATTTCCCGAAACAAAAACCTTTGACGGTTATTTCCCCTCATAAATGCCACATTATAAACAATTGCAAGTCAGCAGTTTTCAACCCATCCCCTAAACACCTCCCTTTATCATATTAGCGTCTAAAAAATGTTTTTCTATTCTTGAACTAGGAAAACAAGCAAAGTGGTGACAAACGCACTAAAACGCTGTTACATTTAATGCAACAGGAAACACTGACTAGCAGGAGAAGAGGAATCAAGGAATTTTAAAGAGCATGGCACCAAATAAGGTATGCTGGTAGAATTCGAAAAGCCTCTAAGACCCTTTAATATGATTTGTGTTCACGCTGGCTTTTTGCAAACAAACCCAGTGTGGAGATTACTCAGCTTACAGACTCATAGTATATATAAGAAGAACATTCAAAGCCCTCCTTTGCTAAAAATAGAATTTCTAACTTTGTTAACCCGTCGATAACATTTTCAGAAAACATTTTTTGCACGTAACAAGATATATTATGAACTAAACCAATCATCACTGAAATGGAAGCAGACTTCTGCTTCACATAAACCGTTTAAGGGACAAAATGTCACACAGCCTGCATGAGACTCAGAGTGCAGCTTTCCCACCTGCATCTCTGACGATAATGCTTTATGCTGCTTTTTTCCTAAGCTGTCTGATTTATATGAAGTGCTCACAATGACAGTTGTCGACTTTTTTTTCTTCACAGAACAAAGTCATTCCTTCTCAGACAGTCCTTTCCGCACACTTCGTACTGAATCCATGAAATGGTCGACTTTTTTTTTAAGTGAAGCAAACAGGTTCTACTGGCTGGATGATCAAAGGCCCCTAACTTGAAAGTGATGAACCTGTGCTCATCATTGCTCTCTGCTGGCTTTTCTCTCTCATTCCCGTTTGATTCCATGCTGCCGGCACAGAGTTCAGGTGTCACTCCGCCATTCTACTTGTTTAAATCCCGTTTACTCTTTTTTGTAACTGCATGGAAATGAATGATTTTTTATTTAATCAAAAGCCAAAAACCTAGTGACTAAATAAACAATTTCAGCTTCAAAGAAAGTGATGGTTAGAGGGGTTGTACCCTGAATTCAACTTTACCGAGCAAAAACTCAGTCTGAATACACACCAGACTATAAAGGTGCTCAACTGGACTGTTCAGGATCTTTTAGAAATAAACAGTAAAAATTTCTGCACGTATTTCAATAATGACAAAACTAGAATTGAAATGTTTTAAGTGGACCAATCAGCTGAAACCAATCAAACATAAGTCTTGCTGACATCTTTTCATAGTTTCATTTTAGTCATTTGAAACTTTTCAATATGACAAACTGCATTACATGTTTAAGGGCTTCCTTATGATTTTAAAGGAGCTGATGTCCACAAAAAAGCAGAAAATGAACTCTCATCTGCAACAAATTATATCCAATTAAAGTAGAGACAACCTCACATTACATTTTCTGGCCTTTAAATGACATCTCAAAAACCAGCATTCACAAGTGAAATGGAAATACAGACGAGCAGCAAGCAGAAAAAGATTAAATATATGAGGCAGCTAGTGTACCATGAGGAGGGAAAGTATCCTCTTACATTATGATTTTATGAGATTTCTGTCTGACTGAGCAAGAAGAGAAGCTCAAGCTATTTGACAAAAGAAAAGTGACCCTGTTAGACTAACAGATCACCACTGTAATAATTCAGCTTATGTAGAATAATTGCTATTCCCTTTGACATTTTATGTGCCGCTTTGCCATTCCCAGCAGCACAGTCTCACCAAAGGTTAAAGTGGTTCTTGTCATTTTTTTTCATTCCTGCTGCCCCACAATGAACCACATGTATCCCTATACCCCTGTCTATTAGGAGGCAAAACATGATGCATTTGGTTTAGTGAATAGAAGATTGAATTCAAACGAAAATAAATAAATTTTAATTGCAGTCACTGCACGCACAAAGCTCAAGCCACCAATCTTAATGCCCCTGGTAGCAAAACACTCCCTCCTCATGTGGGAGGTTGTCACAGCCACACTCACAGACCGCCATGAATAATCATGAGTAGGTCGGTGAATGATTACAACCGTGTCTGAACATCCAAAGAAACGGAATTAGAAAAAATATCAGAGCAGGAATAAGGAATATTTGAAGGACTTCTTTCCCCACACTGACAGCATTCTGGTAGGCTTATCGCAGAGTGTCTGTGACAGGTGATAAATGCCTGCTTTCACCACCTGATGTTTCAGGCAGCTCTCGGGACGGCTTCGCTGCGTGTCTGCCTCTTTTCTGTGCTGTTACAAAAATATAAAAACTCTTTCTAAATTACAGGGGCATTCTGCCCTAGAATGAAACCCAAGAGAGTTAGGATTCCTATTAAAACCTTTTAAACCACAGATTCAGAGGAGCAGAATGTCCGGTGGCACTACACACTGTGCCAGTATGTGTGATATGGGGCACTGTGAGGTTGTCAGGCATGAGGCAGAGCTCACAGTGATTATGAGGCCATGTGATCCCCCGGAATATTTCATCTCCACTTCTAATTACAGTGGATGGACAAGGCTCACTTTTAATCAGACGACCTTTGTCAGCTTGAGGAAAATATTCAGAACATGAGAGGAAAATGATGAAGAGATGAGTGGGAGTTTGGAGACATGTGTCAAACACTGATGCTGGAGTCCAAAAGATGTTAAAGCACTAAAAGTGATTGGTCACTAGGCCTGCAAATGGATTTAGATCTCAAACAGCTAATTAGGTGAGTTCCGCATGACGTCAGTGCACACAGCTATAACAGCTTCTACTCTTCTCGAAAGATGGTCCACAAGGTTTTGGAGTGTGTTTATGGGAATTTTTTCTGTCACTATGGGGGTAATTGGATATAAAATAGGGTGTGTTTTCATTAACAGCCTCAAAATAAAGTTGAAATTAAAGAAAGATAGTTTTTTTATTTCTAAAATGACATTCTTGGTTATCTTAGAAACCTTGCAAGCTGGGAGCCTGGTTCCAAATGAGAGTTAATCTGCATCTTTTTGTGTCTGAAACATTTTTTTCTTGAGCATGGGAGTTCCAAGGTCACATGCTTTTTTGTGTGGATGCCCTGAAGAACTTTTGTTAATCTGTACAGGCGCTTGTTTACTAGCTGAGCATGACTGTGATTACAGTAAATAAATCAATGGAAAAACACTTAATGCAATTTTTGTTTTCTTGCTTGAAAATAATGAAGTCATAGTCAAACTTTCTTGTTATATGTAAAAAATATATCTGTTTTTCATATCTTTTTCAAATCTATTCAGTAACAAAAGAAAACGACAGACAAAAAAGTTGTGTTTACAGCAAATGCAACACTAAGGGATCTGGAATTTTTAAATTAAAATCTAGTCCAAACTATGGGACAACACAATAGAAAAAAACTCTTTGGGGACTGTCATCAGAGTATTTAAAGAAACCAATATAAAAAATTTTCTCTTTCAGCCAGCCAAAAAAGAAAAGATTTCAGGTTACGTTAGACAACTGTTTTCTAACAATTAGTTACATACAGTATTTTCAGGATAATGAGATCCTGGGAGAGAAGCAACTGATAAGAGTTTATCTTTGCATGTCTTTGTAGCCACTGTAAGCATATAGCGTATAGTCGAATCTCATAGACAGAAGCCCTGAGATAAAGAATCCAAAGAGCATGAGCTGTACCGTATGGTTACATAGCCGTGTGCAAAAAAAATGTAAAACCATTCCTATTGGAAGTGGAGATTAATACTAAATTAAGCATTCGTACACCACTCATTTAAAGAAAATATTCAGACTGACCAGCACTAAATGCCTTATCACTGCATGAAAATCCCATACACAAACTTAGAGACATGTAAATGCATACAGACAGTAATTACTCTTTACTTACTTGATGTAATAGGGCACCTTATTCTGAGATACTGCCCGCTGCCAGGGGAGCTGCACAGACGCTGCAGACACACAAAGTCAGATGAAGAGAAGGGGAGAGATAAAAAAAGTCAAGAAGTAGTCGAGATTCTTACTCCATCCTAATAAACACTGCATGCGCTTTAAAAATCCAACTGAGCAATTCAGCATTTGAAGTCTGAGATGAAATGATTCCGACATCCAAGATTAACTAAAGGCCAAATGTGGGAAAACTGACAGGGTAAGATGGTGTTGTTGTTTACATGGAGGTAAAGAAGAGAGAGACATTATGGCCTAGCTAGAAAAACATTAATCTTGAAAGACACCAAAGTAGATGGACCCGAGATGAAATGTATTATTAAATGTGAAATTTTAAAACCATCCAAACAGTGAGACTAAATGCTTGCAGATAAAACAGCAGCAGAAATGTTGTTTGATTTATAGCCTTCCCACATTTTCCTCCTCCAAGACACAGCTTCACTAACACTCTAATAGAGAGATGAAAAGACAGTAAGAGAAGGAGATTTAATCAGATAGAGAGATATACGAGATGGATAAAGTGTGATAAGAAGGCACTACTTTATTTATCCCTGTGGGAATATTAAGCTACTAATGTAATGACAGCGAATGCGCCATAGAGGAGACGGTGTCATAAGGCAAAAAGATGAAAGAAGAGTGGTATTTGGTCTGGTGCCGTCACTAAGCTCCCAGCAGAGCTTGCTTGGTAAATTCTTGTCTGTCTGTGACGCAGCATGGTGGTCGAGCATCTGAACTGAATCTCGCTTTTGTCTTTGTGCCTGGCAGCTAGCAAAGTAAATCAGGTGGAGCAGGAAGAAAAACTGACTATGAAAAAAGAAAGAAAGGAGATATAGAAACAGAAAAGATAAGAGACTGGCTGATTTGTTTAATGTCTCTGCAGCTCAGTCTGGGGTTCTCTGTTCAGCTAATGACCGCTCTGAAAGGAGTGTCAGAGGAGGGAGTCAGTGAAGCTGTAATTAATCCTCACATTATTCGGAAGTAAAGTGCTTTGTGTGCACGAGTGTGAGAGTGAACAAATCCACCACATGTGTGCGATCAGGACAGCAAAGGATGGGGGGGGTACAGTCCAAGGCCCCCCAACGTCTTTTTTTCCCCTGGAGAAGTGACTGTACTCACTTGAGAGGAAATGTTGGGAGGAGGGGCCGAAGTCTCTGTGCGCCTCTTGAAGAAGTTTCAGTCTGTCCTCCACTGCCACCTGTAAGATGACCACGCAGAGAAGAGGCAGTGGGTGGATTTAGCATCATAGTTTAATTCAAATCCAAGTCAGTTTGGCTTAGAAGTGAGATTTCTTTTAAACCTAGAGTTCCTCAACTGTTCTCCAATGAATGTATGAAAGTATACAGCATCGACAATTTCATTCATTTAAGGTCATATATAACATAGAGGCCATCTAAACCATTTGCCTCCCTCTATGAAATGACTGTCCTGTCTATGGCAACCCCCTGAAACTATAAAACCAGCTCCTGAGAGGTGAAGTTCCATCCAGTTTTCACTCATAAACCAGAAAAAAAAAGTAAAAAAAATCAAACAAGTACTCATCTAACAGCCGTGTAGAGGCTGTTAGAGCCATCTACACGGCCATCTGAGGCAGCGCACCAAAGTCCTGCTGTACAAGACTGGATATTTGCTCTGCTCCAACATCTAGGCTAGCAGAAAAATATCAGCAGTCTGTAATAGTGAGACTGGCACATTCACACAGGATTATGACCGCCAGATGTCCAAACAGGAATCCTGGTAATGGCCACAGAAAGGCCAGTAGTCCAATCTCTTTTTGGCCATTGCTGGCTTTTATGCACACTGTCCCACAGCAAGACGGACAGTTCCAGTCTGCATATGAAAACCTAATCATCAAACCGCGCAGTGAGAACTGGCCTATTAGAGAAGCTACTGCCTTTCTGCAGACAGACATAAGAGCACATGAAAACGAGCAGCCCGTTGTCGCTCTGCCCTCCTATGACAGCCCAGCAGAAATATCACAGGGCCGCAAATTAGCAAAGCTCCCCAGTTTTGCTTGGCAGCACAGTCGCACATAAAGGAAAAACTGAAAAATACAGCTTATGCAGACTCGAAGATGCCCCCCACCCTCATGCTATTCTTTTTTTTCCACCCCCGCGCCTGTTATGGCAAGATGTTGGGTTAATTTTTCAACAGCGTCTCTGAAATCAGAATCACAGTCCATTGTTTCCTTTGTGATATAGAGAAAATCTTCTCCAGGTGTACTTTTGACCAAACCAGTTTTAGACACAAAAGGGACCGTTGAATTATTTATGCTTCTGTTTTAATCAGAAACGACAGAAACATAAATGGTAAAAAAAAAAAAAAAAGACCTGAGCACTCACTGATTTAAATCAGCTAAATATTACTCTCTGGTGCGAAAAAAACGAACAAAAAGGATACAATTCTATTCCAATTCACAACCAAACCCCTGTCTACTGTGAAAACTCCATAGATGTCTTTCCCTCCATGACTGGAGCAAAGGGAGAAACACTCAGAGAAACACTCCTCAGGTCCCCCAGCAGATCCAACCAAGACCATCTGGCTCACATAGCCAAGAACCGGTGCCAAACACTGTGCCAAACACTGTGCCAAAGTATCCGTGGTAGAGTGACAGAGTGCGCCATCAAAAGCAGACCAGAGCTCAAATCTAATAAGCACACAAGTTAAGGAACATCCTGTGCCTTGCGTTTTTCAGCTGACCCCAAGTAAAAATGACCCAACAGCTGGAGACGGAGAAAAAAGTCTCCACTGAGGCAGAAAAGTGCAGAATGAGAGAAAAGAAGGAAAGAATGCTGTTTATAACAAGACACTGCAAAAAAAGCAGGAAGAGAAAAGTCAAACTCCAACAGGACAATTGTAACTACCTGAAGGATTTTCCACCTCATGTTAAGTTGGTCTAGTTGTCTGGAGGCAGTGGACGACAGCTGGATGTCCAGAGGTGTGAGCTCTGCAGAAAGCTCGTTGACAATCCGAACATCCTGTCGCAACGGGGCGACCCCCTCTCTGAAGGCCTGCTCAGACGGGCGGTTTTGGTTAGCCGTAGGAGAAAGCATTATGCAAGCCTATGGTCTCATTCAGGCTTTCTGTCATACTGTCAAGATCAAGTATTCCAGTTTATTGTGCTTTTTTTTCATTGGTTTAACACCCTTTTTATTTTTATAATTTGTGTCTCAACAGTGGATTTTTAATGTCTGTATGTTGTTGTATGTTTTGGACAAAAATACTGAATGGAAGAATGTCGATATTTCAAGTCTAATCTATTATGGCTCGTTTTATCCTGACATTAATAATAAGGAATACAATTCACCAGATTGTTCACGCTCAGGAGAGCAAAAACATATGAGGTGTGAGGTGACCGATGGTTACATTTACAGGCAGCTGCTCTTCCTCCTGTCATCTGAGTAATGATTTGATTATTACCTGTCTTTTTTGTCTCTTTCCTCCGTTGTTTTATTTCTTGCTGTCTGAACAAGCTACTCTTTTCTTCTTTTTTTTTTCTAAATTTCAAATGATGATAATAAAAAACAAACAAACAAATAAACTGTTATAGCTGTCACTCACCACTGTCTTTTCGATGTGGTCCTGGAGAGAGTCGATGAGCAGATCGCCCACAGGTTGCCAGGTAGCTTTTGTCTCCTCTGCTTGTGTCAGCCGGAGGTCCAGCTGGTCCATGGAGCTCTGCAGATCCTGAAGTCGCTCCAAAGCTCGCTCCACCTGAGTCTGCCAGCCACCCACGTGCCCCGTTAGGCGCTCCCACCGCTCCCTGACCTCACCAGTCTGCTTGCGGATGGCCCGGGCCAACCCTCGGGCCTTCTCCTCTGGAGTGAGGTCTGCAGACACAGGAAACAGTGCTAGTTAACTTATCTTTATCATTATCTGGAGGAAGCTTTAGATACCCTTCTCCACATGGGGAGAAGACAAGTTGCAGCTTTGTTCCCTCATTCCACATTATTTTGGTTAACGTTCAAATATATATATTTTTTTAAGAGTGTGAAGTGTCTAAAAAGATCTCAAAAGCAACAAGCTTAGGTGAACTGAACCAAAGTTAAGGTGCTGATTCTTTACCTAATCCCTCGTTAAGGATTTCTCTTCTTCTTGGCATTACTTTCTGCTAAGCTGCAGCCCAGAGGGTGAAGCTGGCTTCAAAGGTGAGACAATCTCCACAGCCTGAAATCTGACTGACTGCAGAACCACACGTTTACATTCTGGTATCATAGATAAGTAAATTAATTAATAAAGTTGAAGTCTCTGTCTATAATCACACAAGTAATGACAATTTCTTTTGTCTTTATGACCCAATTGATTTAAGCTTCATCGAGGCTTACTGCTATCCGTATTGTGGTCTCAAAATATGGTCAATGAACAGCAATCCATCCAGGGGGTGCAGAAACATTCTCTGTACAATACTTTCAGATCCAAAAATCCAATATGATGGTTGCCAAGTGAAAAGCTCAGGCCTTCACAGCGGTAGGTCACATTAATGCATAGTCTCACAGTGGTTGCAATCCATCTTTTATCCACAGTCTGTGCTTTCTATTATTTCTCACTGCTTTGATTTCCTTTTTTTAAATGTAGTCAAACAGCGCAGCAAAAAAAAGCAGTAAAAAAGCCAAAAAATTAAGTGAGATTGAAATGGAAAGCAGTAAATATAAAAGTGCTCCAAATAAAGAAAAAAAGGACGAGAGAAACAAGGCAGTAAAGGTGAGTGCAAAGAGTAATAGCTTTAGATTGGAGAATGCCATAAGAGACAAAAGAAGAGGCAGAAGAGATAACTGCTCCCTTAATACCCATTTAAGCTGCAGAGAAAAATGAGCAGCTTAAATGGGTTCTACCGTCTCATCTTATGAGCGGGGACTGAAAAACCATCGTCACCTGTTGCATCTCTCTATTTTCGTCTCTCCTTTTTCCTCAGCTGCTTCCCTGCTTACACTCGCGCCTGACAAATGGCAAGTAGCACTTTCTACTGCTGCACAGCATGATGGAGTCTGACTTCTGTTGTGAAGAAAGCAGCACTCAAACGAGTCAAATGAGTCGACCCAACCAAACGCATATCCTCATAAATTAAGAATATTTAAATTGTTGAAGCTTTATCAAAGCCTCCCTCCAACTAATTCTTCCTCTTCTGAATACACAATGAACAACGTTTCTGATATCAAATCAATTTATCCAATGAGATAGTGCTGCATCAAAAGATCATACACGACAAGCCTATTTGGTGTGTGCTCTGAAGTCTGGCCACCCCCCTACACGGCGCCCCAGAGTAGGTTAAATTATTTACACAGTTGGGCCTCAGTTTGAAGGGGAAATGTGCTGACTTAACCAAGACTTCCCCGATGCATTCAACAGAGACAGGGAGAGGGAATGCTGAATGAGACGGCTCATGTTTAATTCTTGAGTGCCCTATAACATGTTTGTTTTCAAATCCACCCAGTGTTACGTGAAAGGCATTTCAAGGCTACTTAAACTATTCAAAATAAAGGTAATCTTCACATTCAGTTTGAAGAGAATCAGAAATTGCATGAGCGTGTAAGAGTGCGTAAAGAAGGTCAAAGTCCTGAATGAGAATCTTCCCTGAGGATTCGGTCTGATCTTCAGGCTGGTTGAATTCCAGTCAAAAGTGTGGGCATGCAGCTGCAAAACTCAAACTATTTTGTTCCTAACACTGGTTACTTTAGTTTAAAACGCCAGTTATTTTGGAAGTTGCAATTGGAAAATAGTTCAAAAGTCAGGAAACCCCTGTCAATCACTCTTGACTGTCAACCAATAACAGCAGGCATTTTGTAAGAACAAACACTTTCAAAAGATAGAGGAGCCACAAAATGTTTGATAACTCAACTTAGAGGCCCTTGAGGAGTTGCTTTCATTGGCAACACACCAAAATAAATCAATAGCTGACAATGTGGGACATTGATGGGTCTAAAAGAATACAGACTAGCTTGGAGATCTTTTCAAACTGTCACGTTGGAGTGTGAAATTCAAAAAGTTTTAAAATGGGTTCATCCTGATTGTAAGCTTTGGTTTGTGAGACTGCAGAACAGAGCAGTAAATCAGGGAACTAAACTATAGTGTGTCAGTGTCATTTGTCTGACAGCGGTGGTGTTCTACAGCACAAATAAACATATCCATAGTCTCCAGCAGACTTCAGACGTTATTGAATTCTACTGCTGTGATGGAAATGAATCCATGCACTGTTGTAGCTCAATATATAAGACAGTTTTACATGTTTAAAATTGTTCATGACTTTTATCTCATGTGGCGTCTATTTATTTCACTGTAACTGGAAAAGTGTCTTGATAGAAACAGCTTATGTGCAGAGACTCCCCGAAGCTGCAGCCTTTTGTCTCTTACTCTGCGGACTACCATAATTTCCAGGCGACAAACATATACACAAAACACAACTTTAAGCATAATTGCTGAAAATATGCAGACAGTATTTTCATAAGAGTGGAACAAACCGGTCTTTGGCTGCAGGTTCCTCCGAGGCTCTCCTGGACCCTCAATGGGTTGGTCAGCGAGAAACATCCTAGCCTGATCTAAAGTGCTGATTACCAAGTGCTCACGTTCCTTCAGCTCAGCGCAGAGTACCTGCAGACAAAATAAAAAAACAACAGTGATTCTTCCACATGCTTCAAAAGCAAATCAAAAGATTAGAAATTCAAAGATAACAAATGAAAATACTTTAAAAATTTGCAATTCTAACAACTGAGTTCCTCCAAAGACCTAAGAAAAAAGTTTTTCTCCATGAGGAGAAGGAACTTCAGAGACATAATTCATGTATTTCCTCTGCAGGTATGCAGATATGTGACTCTGATCTTCTGATCTTGTTAGTTTTGGTGAACTCTATTTGAACCTGGTGCTTTTCCAACAGAAAAACCTGCTAATCAACAAGTTCTGCTTTAAAGCTCCAGGACTTTCATTACTCTGCCTGTAATAAACCCCCTCTATATGTACAATAAAGGAATAGGACCAGCTGTTTATGTTCAATATGGGGTTATGGTTGAAAAGCCATCCTTTTTTTGCATTCAGTCTATTAAGATGTATGAGAGACGGAGAAGGAAAGCAGCTGTGAACAAAGTGTCAGCATGAGTGAGCGCCCTGAGAGCATGGTGACGACTGAAGCCAAGAGCACAGCATCCAAACCTGGTATGTCTGGAAATTAGCTGAATTATGTATAAAATAAAGCCAGCTGCTGAAACCAGCATGATATATCACTCTGATGTCTACGGGTGCTCACATATCCTGCTCATCCCGACACTGTGACAGACAAGTTGTCATGAAGAAACGCATCACAAAATCTCTAGTCCCAAAGACACAATCGAGCATCGAGAACATGGAAGAGTAAATTAAAAAATGTCTCTCAATATAGCTGAGAGAACCTTTGGACCTCATCTCGAGTCACAGCAGATGACACAACTGCACACATGGCATGTAATGGTGTAATTATTAGTGATTTAATATGAGAATGACGCCTACGGGGCCCCGTGGCCCATCAGGCTGTGTGATTGCTTTGTGAAGAGGGGGTGTAGTTTAAGACAGAGCGCAGCCCGTTGATTAGGCAGGCAACCTCCCTTTGATGAACTCCCACACTCATCGAACAGGCAAGTGCAACAGAAATAAGATGTCAGAAATGTTGAGTTGGCCCCAAACACAAACATGCTGCATGTGTGCAGTCACACAAATCCATAAGGGAGGAAAAAACGGCCTTGTTGTGTAAGCGTAAAGCCTATAATAAACACATTTTTCAAAAAAATCCCTCATTTCAAGGAATAAACTCCCCTTAAGTTCAGTTTCTACCATGTGACAACAAGAGGCTGTGTGACAATTTCACACGGCCTCTTGTAGACTAATGTACCATCATGCTGAAATGGAGCATCCCGCTCAACATAAATTACATCAGCCCGGCTAATAAATGGTTTGCTTCGTTCCAATGATTTCCCCCAAACTCACATGGTGGTGAGATAACGGGCAGGTAGCTCAGGGTGGGGAATGAGACAGGAGCTAAATGAAGGCTGATTGAAGAAGCAGAAAAGAGGATTGAGCAATGATGAGATAAGAAGGCCAGGGAGCTACGCTACGAAGACTACTACCAGCTGAAACCGGTGTCAGTGAGTGTGTGTGTCATTATTGTGACATCATTAATTTCCTGCAAATCTTGCAGCTCAGTGTAGACACAGGGTGGTATAGTGGTGACTGCAAATGGTTCTATAAATGCTAAAGTGTTATTGTGGTTGGAAGCCGTCTTTTCAGAGAACTAAAGAAGTGATTGGGCTCGTCATCCATATTTCTCAGAGAATAATATTCCATCGTTGACTGACGAGCCGACGCAGAAATGAAACCCTGCTCACGTCGCTCTAACCAAGTCTGTCTTTTTACATATATTATAGATGTCTGTGATCCAGCCACGAGGTACATTTTCAGTTCATACAGACAACAACACTTAAGCCTCAAACAGATCGTTTTACTGAACCTAAAAATATCAGTGTAACACAAGGACACACTCACAAAGACAGCCTGAGAGGTAGTGATCACAAATTCAAGAAAAAAAGAAAAAAAAAAAGCTTTTATTTCAAGCAAATCCCAGCAGGGCTGAAAGTGATAAGACAAAGCCTTTTAAGATAAACCGGGACAGGTCTACCCTTCGCTCCTTGCTTTGATAAGGTTTTTCACTCTGGCTCATTGGAATATGGTCCAAAAAGTCTGGGATTGGTGGAGATCAGAGAAAGAGGTGACTCTTGTCAGCTGCATGTTAGTCTCTTGTGGGTAACGGTGGCTGTGACCTTGGCTGTGTGTGCGTGTGTGTGTGTGTGTGTGTGTGTGTGTGTGTGTGTGCATATTGCTGAAACTGAGAAATTGTGGCCATTTGCCAGTGTTTGAGTCCAGATTTTTGTAGGATGGCAGTGTGCAACGGTAGCCGCGCAACAAACTCTTATCGCTACGTGCCCTGTGCTGTGGCGCCAATGAGATAACATCACAAAACATCTACTTTCAGAGCTCTGCCAAACATCCCTCTTCCTGCTCTCAAACCCCTGGTATCAGAGCCGCCACACAATATCACTGTATCTCAATACCGTCCATCAGAGGAAGAAAAAAAAAGAGAGACTATAAACCAGCTCAACACCATATCACAAAAAAATTCAAGGGGACCACTCCCGTCCAAAGCCAACCATGAATTTCTGTTGTTTACCAGCAGATAAAAATGAAAAGAGGTAAACACTTTAAGGAGAGGCAAATGTTTGAAATTCTGTTGTCTGAGCCTAATTAAATTTGACAAATATCTGGAGCTGCATAAGAAGCCTTGGAGTGATTCAGCCTGGAAATGTAACCGCTCCTTTGTGCCTAACATCCAGCGCTATCTGGGAGCAGCTGAAAGCCACTGATAGTTGTTTGCAAGAAAATTTCACGACATGCTCTACTAAACTACTGCCTCCAGCATTGGCGATTTTAAATAATTAATATTTCCGCGGGCTGTAAAATGCCTGAGGTGGACACATAAGTTCTAAAACTAAAACATAAAACATTTTTTCCCCAGGTCCTCTCTTTAAAATATGTCTTGTAGATCTGCATTTTTCATTGTAATGTGGTTAAATCACATATATATATTTCTATTTAAAAAAGAGGACTCGTAAAGATGAGTGTAGATCAGCATTAGCATTAAAGGCTCTGGCATGTAAGGAAAACCTTGATTTTTAACAGTGGGATGTACTATAGGGAAAACCTCCATGTGTTTGATTTGAAAGATCACATCATTAACTCTGATGAAAAATTCATTTCTGTCTTTAATGGCGCACTGAGATATCCGAGTGAGCAATAGTACTGAAAAAAACTGTTGCAACTTACCTGAAGAGATAACTTTGATAAGGATGCTTCAATTCTAAGAGACCATCAGAGCACTTTAATCCATTTTAATTTCTTCTAAATCTGCTCCATTCAATTGCAAATTGTCTTAATCAATAATACAGACACAATGACTAAGATGGTTCCTGCTGGAAATTTTAGACCCATCTTGCTTTCAACTGAACAATTATTACTACCATGCTACTAGACTACAAGAAAACAGAAAATAGGGGGAATCTCTCCTGGTTCATTTCTCCTTTTACTCGGTTTTCCTATCTCAGGAATGAAGGGAAGTGGCTTGAATAAACCCCAATGGACTCTTCTGATAAAGCGGACAAGAAGCCAACTGTTGCTGAGAGTAATTTAAAATGCCCACAGGCCTTTCTCACTTCTTGATCTATAAACTATAAATTTAGTCGGACGATTAAATTTCGTCAGAGTCGGACGAGATTAATCAGGTGTGGACAAAAGGCTTTTCACTGGATAATTGAAAGTGCAATTAATAAATGTTATTGTGGTCCTTTTAGCAGCGAAAAAAACAAACAGATCAATACCCAAAGAGCAAGGAGTCCCACTTATGAGGCAGGACGACATCCATCCCTCTCACATATTTCAAAGTTTGTTGACATGCTGCCAAGAAAGAGATTTGATTGCAACAGCTGTCTCTAAAACTGAATATGCTGAAAATAAATAAAAAGATAAAGATATGCACCATGCCTCTCCTGCATCACTCTTCCATTAACCTCATTTCCTCACGTATAAATCGTCTCCTTTCATCTTATTGTGCCTCAGTTTGCTGATCTCCGTCCATCACTCTCTTCTGTCTCTCCAGATCACTGCACACTCATGTTTTTATTCCCTCCATTTATTTAATAATAGATATATCCAAAATTCGCTGGTGGGCTAAATTACTAAGAATTCCTCTTTTATCTCTCCAAGTTTTCCCAATCATTAACAGAGAGAAAGTTTTTCCCTTTCTCTTAGCAATTCTTACCTCAGTGTAACAGATTTCCATACATGCGTGCTCACTCCTCCCCTTCCCCTTTAAATGGAAAATTGATGTACTGCTGAATGGCAGCGTGTATTTGTGAGCACAGAGGATCTTAAAGTGTGTATGTCAGCATAAGCAAGAAAGAGCATGACTTGTTCAAAGCCAAAGCTCTTTGTTCTGCTCAGCCCCCCTCATCCCTCTCAGGGTCAGCAAGACCTCAAGGCCAATTTACAAGGAGCAGTAAGAGAGTGAGGGGAAAACAAAAAGGCATCTTCCTTACTTTTAACCCTCGTTTTATTATTTACAATTTCAGCACTCTCAAAGCTAAAGACCTGGAGAGGAACAAGTGAGCGGGGGGATGTGAGAAGGAGAGAGCAGTGTGAGAAAAGAGGATGAACATACAGGAGACAACAATGAAGAATGATGGAAAACAAGATAATAGAGCTGAAAAAAGGCACAGAGAGGGAAAGTGAAGGAGGAGGTGCAGTTCGACTCTACTCTGTTGGCAGTGTGCAGTTTCTTTCCTTCTGCAGACACTCTTATGAGTTAAAACTTGCCTTATTTTACGAAAACTACATTCACTTTATAGGCCTTCATGCTAGCTCCCATAAAGTAGAAATACAGATATTGTCACCTTTTAGAAACTATTCATTTTGGATAATGAGACACCGTACTTAGCAGGCATTACTGCAGCCAAGAAATTGATCGTCTTCTGCTGGAAAAGCAAATTCTATCTCTATGGGAGATCGGTTATCTGTCTTTTTTGATAGTTTGCCTCTAAAATAAGAACTCATCAAGCACATTGATCTAATGCCGATTAGACTTCTTACTCTTTTGGCATAAGATAAGCTTTAAGGACTCCTGTATCTCCCAAGAGTTTCACAAATCTGCAACTTTTTTTCCCCATTCAATTTTTATTTTCACTCATGCCTTCCTGTTTCTTCCCCGTGAACATATTTCTATAGAATAACAGCCTTCCTATAAATGAAGCTTTCCTGGTCATTTGTTATGTCACAGTGCATCAATAAGTAATATGTATAACGAAATGCAATTTGAAAATGTAACGCAGTATAAATTATATTTAGCGTGATGTTAAATGTTTTAATGCTCTTGTGCAGCGTGCTTTATCAAATTTGAATAAAAACTCAATCAAGTAAGTCAGAAACAGCACAAACAGAAAGAGGCTTACTGTTAGCATCCAGGTGCAAATGTGTTGTACATGTTTAATGTACTGCATGTGTACTTGGATATAAAAGTACGTTAGCTTTGTTTTCCCCCTTAGTCTATCTTTGACCCGTTCAAAGCTTTTGGGGGCAGCAAAAAAAACAAGATTAACAGCATGCAGAGAGATGCATCATAATGTCAACTACTATGGTGACTGAGTGTAAACGGTCGCCACGGGGTGAGCAATATATCTGGAAAAGACTGCAGTCCAAAACAGACCTGTGCTTACAATAAATAATGTTGTGGAGGCAACAGAAAGCTCTCCTTGCAAAGATCGGAGTGGGTCAGCATATTAAAGATATTGATTGCTAAAAAGAAACTAACGACTCAGAGTGACAGAAAACTCATTCTAAGAATGAAAACGTGTTGAAATCTATCATGAACTGATACAAGTATTGACACAATAACAATTCTGTGTTTCAGAAATCTGGATAATTACTGCTAATCATTGAGTTTACAATCTGTCATGGAGCTTTCTAAGCCTATCAAAAGCAAAAACAAGCCCTTCTACACCCAAAGGACATTGTCTGTCTGAAAAAATGTATTTTCTTTTATTCAGGCCAGTATAGTTTTTCCTCGCTCAATAACGGGTGGATCCAGAAAGACCTCAAACTATCAAAATTTGGAAGGAAAAACCTAAGGAAACGAGGCCTCAGTTTCAAATGACAGGAAGTTTACTTTGTGAAGTTTTCTCTATGAGGCTTCTCAGGCATCCAGCCCTGTAAAACCCACTCCAGCGCCGTTATTTAGTCTCAAAATCTGTTCTGGCATCTGCACAGGATAAAGGTCAGTGGAACCACTGTATTTATGCTAAATGGTCTAACTTCATGAGGAGAGAGAAACGACCCTTGTCCACAAGCTGACTAATTGACAGAAAAACGTCAGAGAAGTTAGTTGTTAGTTTCCTTTGAAGATTTGAGAGTAGTGTTAAAGCTGCTTTAAAAAAAACACATGAAACCAAAAAATATTCAAACTAAAACATAATCCAATATATTTGAAACACATTAAATACAAGACGGTGGCTGCTGAGGGGTGGCGCGTCTTGGGCAGGGCTGCAGGAACCCTGCAGCCAGCAGTACATACCGTGCAGTGATTCTGCTGTTGCAGCAAGGTGGGCACGTCTCCTCCAATGGGCATCTGCTTGGCCAGCTCCTCATCTTTCATGCAGATCCACCTCCACAGCTCCTCTAGGAGGCCCAGAAGACGTGACCAGCGCTCAGCACTCGCCTCCAGATGGGCTCTGCCGACACGTACCGTCCAATTCAGTAAACGCGCTGGAACACTTTGATAACAGCCTTCTTATTCTCCTCCCCAGTCAAAGTGTCAGCAGCAGGAGCTTATCTATTGATATTTTCTTGTGTGTATTTATACTTTAATGCGCGCACATTCTCGACTGAATTTTGTGTATTGTAGTTGACAGTGCAATGGGTTTTTCAACCCCAGAGCCCAGGTGGAAAAAAATGGTATAGATATTTTTGCTGGTTTTATATAATGTATGTTTTCTTTCTCTATTCTTCCAATATACTGAGCTATCCATGTTTCACATATACAGTATATGTTTATGCATGGTTGCAGTAACTCTGGACCACAGGGAAAAATTTCACATTAAGCGTATGTAATATGGGTGATTGAATTTAATGTGTGTCGATAAGCAATTTGTTTCTCTCCTCCCCTTTCAGCAAAATGTATCTGAACATTACCACTTGACGAGCCAGCCTTAATTACACATGTACTGTAATCAAAGCATAATGGGCTGTATATAATCAACTCAGAGGCTCCCACAACCTGTGTGGGCCCATAATCTGTTTGTCTTCCTGTGCTACAAGTCCAGTTTAGTATATCTGTGCTGTCTCACAGTGAATCATATAGTCTCTTATATTCAAGCTAAAACCTTCAGCATTATCGTGTAACTTCACCTATCTGTGTTCAGTTCCTCTAACCTTTCTCCCTGCTACTGCAGATTTTCCGTGCAGATGTGCTGCTTCCACTTATCCTCCCTCCTCATCCTGGTCTTTGAACGTCTCCATATGGCCCCATCACCTCTACTTTTACCCTCGCTTTCTTCACCATCACCACTTCTGCGTCGCGCCCTTCCTTTTTATTTATGCCAAGGTTGTGGCTGACACAGTATTTGTGTCTTCAGAAGTTTATGTGGCACTGTGCTGGCTCTTTGGTCCTTCAGGAGTTGCATTTTGCCTCTGTGCATCATGCTGGGCTCTATAAGCCATTCACAGTTTTGTAAGAATATAGCATTTTAAGGTTTTACAATGAAAAATATTTGAGTAATGTTTCATCATGGAATTGGACAGGCTGTCTTTTCATGAACTACAAGTAGTGACACAAATGAGGTGTGTCAAGAGTGCAGAACACTGTTTGGAACAAAGTGTAGTGGCCTTGTTTTGAGCTTAACTCTCGATGTGCGCTTTATATGAATTTGATTAAAATCTGTTCCTTAAAAAATACCTTGGCTTCTTTTGTATTGGCGTCAAAGCAACCTTGAGCTCAAGTAATGTGCAGTCTCAACAACAAATGCAGAGGCAATTGTACTGTTATAAATAATATATGAAAACATATGAGCAAAAAGGAGCTGATCGCTGATCGCCTACATGGCTGGCATCGGTGCAGGTGAACTGATCTGAGTGAAGTGTGATAAAAGAGCCTCACCAAATGGTGCTGTTGTCAGAGTGAATGCAGGTTGCACTGTGAGAACACAGTTCTGCTGATCAGTGATAAAGAAAGCAAAAAAACAACTGATTGGTTTGATTGCATCCGTCTAATGATCTTTGAACCAGATGATCATATTTCATGCTGTAAATCGTCTGAGGATGGTTTATTTTAAATAAAGCCAGAAGCGTAATGTGTGTTCAGATATGTGCAGTCATACTTCACAGCCTTGTGTTGTTTTTATGTAATATAATCAGGGTAAACGCATCAGGCACTGAGTGTAATGGCCACGTGCTCTGATGCAGCACTCCTCATATTGGATGCTGCACATTCATTAAAATGAACTAAAGGAGGAAAATGTTGATGATGAAGCAGATCTCATCTTAATTCACATAGTAAGGCTGAATATTTTATTGACATTCCTGCTTCAACTAAACTAAGCAGTGATGCCAGTTCTGGAGCTTCTGTTTTGTTTTTACATTTTAATAACTGTAGTAGTGGATGAGTGCTGCTAAATAAAAAGTCCATTCTAATTCTTTCCTTTCCTGAATTTAATCCTCAGCATTAACACAGACGCTGAACCTCCTCAAGTAACCACCTGAAAGTGAAGCTATGGGAACAGGGTAAAGCATAAATTAAATTGTGGAAACAAAGATGCCATTAGCCTGTCTCTTTTGGCTGCCAAGCCCGTGGCTGTTATTTCTTTTTTGATCTCAATTCATAGAATAGACGTATTCTGGACAGAGGTTTACTGACCGGATGTTGGCTGATTTGGCCTTCAGGTCACTCCAGCGTTGGTTCATGTCATCCAGTCTGTGCTGGAGGAACACCGCTTCCTCTGAACTGCCCAGTGCTTTGACCATCTTTGACTTGTTCCCGTCCACACTTTTGTAGATGTCATTGTGGGCATCGATCTCAGCCTGGATGTCCTATGAATACAAAAAAATATATACATAAAAAATAGGATTTGCTTCTTCATGGTTCTGAATGAATTCACAGTCACAGCTAACAGTAAAGTTAGCTCATTACACCCAAAATGGGATGTTACAGTCGCAGAGGCTGTCAGAGGAAATAAGGCTGAACCCAGTTGCAGGGAATAATCCTGAGTGGCACACTGCACACATTTCCAGAGGGCAGAAAAGTGGAAATTTTCATGAAATGTCCTGAAGGAACTTTGACTAAAAAGATTTTAACTTCCACGCTTTCCCTGACTTGCCAAGCCCACCCCAACCAGGAGCAATTTCCAGAGCACTGACTACCTCCATACTAATGCTGCATAAGGTTATACAAGGGCTAAGCCAAAGCCAGTGTCACTAATTTCATGCTGGAATGCAGCGTAATACTTCCAGTGGAGATCTATTTCAAAATGTCACTTTGGTGTCTGTGGGACTACAAAAAACCATCCTATAATAAAAGTGATGTAGTCTGACGCTTGTATGGATGCTTGTGGGTATTAAACACATCAGCCCTATTACACAACTACTTCTCAACGGGTGTATGAGAGTTTTTGTGAGAGGCCTGAACCACAGGGGGTCGGCTGACGCAAGCAGAGAATCCTGTCAAATGTTTTATTTTTAGATGTGTAAGACTGCTCCATATTCCGCTCCGCTGGGACTCCCCTCAGTTCAAACTGAGATAAAGACTCCAATTCGATAGACATAAATGTAAGAGTGCCTGGAGCACAGACAGATCTAAAAAGTGGGACAAAATCAGTGTAGAATTGAGACTTATGCTCTAAATAAAATAAAACGTGCAGTAATACAGAAATAATTCTGGACTCTTTATATAAAATCAAATATCTTCAGCACCAAGACAACTTAACTGTATTATAACTGGAATTGTAAAAAAAAATGAAAAACAACAACAAAAGACCTTCAAATAGCTATTGTATTATCAATTCTGTGCAGCTAATGAGTACATTAAGCCACAAGGACAGAGAAGTTCTCTATCTAATAGCTTGTTTGTTTCTTTCGTTGGTCACACAATTTCTGCTGGTACTGGTCCATCTGTGTAAGCATTGGCCAGTGCTATGAGAAGATGCTAAAATATGTAATGACGGTAAACTCGGCCCATATGTACCTGCGTATTTAAAGCTGAAGTTGTCTAAACGGCCAGTGGGCCAAATCACACACACTCGCATTACTCTTTTTGAACAGAATATGTTGCTGACATTTACTCTGATGTAATTTAAAAATTTGGATGCCAACCACAACATATTATAGATGTATGTCAACCATTTTAAGCAGGACTTTTTTTTTTTTACAGTTATGGCATAAGTGTTGGCTTGTTCTAATTGATCAGAAACTCTCATTTCTGATATGGAATAGATCCCCCAATGTTAGAATAATTGTACAATAGTTATCATGCATTCTCTGATGTGT